ATGTCACGACGTTTCGATTGTTAGTATCCACAATCGTCTTCGGGTGATAACTGGACTTATTCCTCCGAGATCTGACTATTTATAGGTCATTCGAGTGCTTTCATCTATCCTCTCTTCCCTCTTTCCGCTTCATTGGTTTTAGCGGGAGATGACTGTTTGGCGGAAGTTGGTCATTTTTCGCTTGATTAGAGGTTTCCATATGTTACCTATCTCTACGCTAGCTTGACTAAATGCGTTGTTGGACAACATATACGCGGCTTCTTTGAATTTTATCCTAAACCAGTGTTCCTCTTTGTGAATGATTTCAGCTTGAGCCCATTTGATGTTATGTATTAACATAACATCAAATGTCTAAACATGCTCTGCTATTCCAGATTTGCTGGTTTCTCCTCGCTGTGTGTGTTTCTTGTGTTCAGCAATGCGAACTTTCAATGGCCTCTTAGTTTCAACGATGTATGATTCTCCGCACTCGCAAGGTATCCGGTAAATGCAATTCTTGGAGTCGCAGTCCGTGTTTGGTGGCCTGGTTTTCGTGAGGCTGCTATGGATTGTGTTCCCAGATCTGAAGCAAATCCTGATGTTATACTTGGACCCAATCCGTCTTATCCTTTCCGATAATCCTCGGATGTAGGGAAGTACAAGTACTCGTTGTGGCGGCTTCTCTTCTTTGTGAAGTTCTTGCTTTCTTCTAGCTAAGGCCTGTTCTACCATCGCTCTGGAGTAACCATTTCGTTAAAGGTAATTGTTGATGATGCCTAGTTCCTTTTCGAGACCTTCCTTTGTATTACAGAGCCCAAAAGCACGGTCTAGCAGAGTCTTGATGATTCCTCTCTTAGTCGATTGATGGTGGTTGGATTTCTGGTTCAGATACTGTCCTGTGTGAGTGGGTTTTCGATATACAGATGTTTCTCATTTGGTGTCGGTCCTCTTCACTAATACGTCTAAGAAAGGCAATTCGTTGTGGATTTCCTTCTCCATTTTGAAAGTGATGGAAGGAATCACATTGTTGATGTGCTTCAGGAAAGTGTCTAGTTCTGCATTCCCATAGTTCCATATTATGAGTAGTGTTGCCGCCGAGACAAGAGATTCTCGACTCTTGTCTCGTCTTGTCTTGTCTAATCATGTCTCGATCGAGACAAGAGAAGATTTTCCTTTCGAAAAATTTTGTCTCGTCAAGACAAGACATAAGGTCCTCTTGGACAAGACAAGACGAGTTATGACAAGAGAGGCTTCTCTCGACAAGAGAAGTCAAGAGAGGTCGAGAGAAAAATAGTATTATAGAAATCCAATTATAATATTCTTTTGATGCAAAAATATATGGTTCATTACAATTTTTGTATTTGATAATTTCGAATCCTGACAATTGGAGTGAATGAAGGTAATAATTTGCAAATTAAGTTTTAATTGATGCTTATTTGTTTATTGATACCACCAAAATACATTTATAATGTATTATATATTTTTTGGTTAATCATACCAGCTCAATTTCAGAAGTAGTCAACTGGTAGTAGAGCTGATGTA